AACAGAATATATTTTTTATTCAATTCTACCTTTCCCACTTTGTGCTTTCCAGTCTTAATGTATGTTTAGAGCCAATTTTGTGATGTGGAGACTCCACCTAATCATTAATTGCCCCCCCTAAAATCCTTGAAAAACAATTTTGCAGCTCTAAAGCACTTTCCTTAAAAGCATCCCAGAGCATTTCACAAAACATAAGGAATTAAGGCTCGAATTTCAGAAGTAGCCTAAGAAAATAAGGTGCCCAAATCCCACTGAAATTCAGTAGGAGTTAGGTGCTTAACTCCCTTAGGCACATTCTGAAATCCCAGCTTAAAGCCTCACAAAAACCTTTGCAAGGTCGGTATTATCCCAATATATATCTGAGCATAAGCTTTCGTGGTGTTTGTAACTCTAGAATTCAATTTCTTCGTTAATCTGCCAGAGCCCAAACTAACTGACTTTAAGGGCACAGTGCTTAGGTTTTTTGGGTTGGATTTTTTTTTTTTTTTAGTTTTAGCAAGGGTTAAAATAAGAGTTAGGAAGTTTGGGTTAGGAATAAGAGTGGTCCTAGGAGAGTATCTGTGCTTTATTAAAAAGAAAAGGAGTACTTGTGGCACCTTAGAGACTAACAAATTTATTTGAGCATGAGCTTTCGTGAGCTACATCCGATGAAGTGAGCTGTAGCTCACGAAAGCTCATGCTCAAATAAATTGGTTAGTCTCTAAGGTGCCACAAGTACTCCTTTCCTTTTTGCAAATACAGACTAACACGGCTGTTACTCTGAAACCTGTGTTTTATTAATGGCAATCCATTTTTTTGGATTGGTATTAACATATGATTCAAGCAACTGGTGATTTTCCCAGTTTGTATATTTTTATATTATTTTTATATAGTACCTAGAATTATTAGGATGGAAGGCTTTTATACCTCATGTGATATACACAACACACATCCACACAGGCTGGGATTTTCAAAAGGGCATAGGGGGAAAAATACAAGCGCATACACCTATATAAAATGCATACATCCCTTATACATGTAAAGATACATACACAAAGTTATCATTGAGGAGATAAAAACACGACAAAACACAAATCACAAAAGACAGTAAATGTTTTATGTGCAGACTGAATTTAAGTTCTTTGCACAATAAAGCATCAACAGATCTTTGATGAAGCTATTTATGTCAAAGTTTAGGCCAAAATTAGGCCAATACATCGATAATTAGTCACCTAAATATATAGTCCCTATTTCTCAGATATTCAATATCTTATCAGGCCCCTTTCATTCAGGTGCTTAATGTTAGACACTGAATTCTGAAAATGTTAGCTTAATGAACTTGATTACCCTACAAATCATAGGATGTGAACATGACCTTGTAACAAGCTGGCCAAAGGACTCTCTGCGACACCCAGAATTTACTGGCAGTCGATTTCCCAGTATAGGCAAAACAAACAAATAACAGTTCCTCAGTCTACTTTGGCTTACAGCTCCCAGGGTCTTCCTCCCCCTTTTTACCTCTTCTCACTGCTCCTGGTTCTTGCAGCTCTCAGGCTCTGAGGAGTCTCTTTCTTCCCCTCTAGGCCCAAGTGCCCTCTTTTAACCCTAACTGGGATCAGCAGACCAGGCACACGGTGCACAGGTTCTGCTTCCTCTTAAAGGGCCAGTGGCACCCTGTGACAGACCTAAAGGTGAATTGCGCTACTATGTTGATGGTATAAAGAAAAGAAGATTGATTAGATGGATATATTTATAAAATAAGGATATTTTGGTAGAAACTTGGTAGGATAGTAGACAATCTAGAATTTAAGGAGAAATGCAGAATCACTCCATAAAAACCTTTTGTTTTTTAGACTGTGGGGAAGGTACATATAAAACTTTACTTTTAATGACGGAAAATGTTTTCTCTTTCTCTGTCAATTTCACTTAATTTCTTATTTTGTGTGTCTGACCGAAGGTTTTGTCATCATCACTGGAAGCAAATTCATCTACTGTGACATCCCCATTTGGAAATCACTCAAGTGATCACTCAAGAAACATCTCAGAGCAACTCAGACTCTCTTCAAGAATGTTTTTCCTTTAAAAGGTAATAGTAATTGAAAGGTCTCATGTAATTCAATTCAAAAGGGCATAGGGGGAAAAATACAAGCGCATACACCTATATAAAATGCATACATCCCTTATACATGTAAAGATACATACACAAAGTTATCATTGAGGAGATAAAAACACGACAAAACACAAATCACAAAAGACAGTAAATGTTTTATGTGCAGACTGAATTTTCAGCAAATTACACTGTTAAACTTATGGCAAGATCAAGTAATTTATTTTACCAATCTAGTAAAAATGGAAGGATGGGAAATAATTGAGTGACTACTAAATATCAAACATTAATAATTGAATAATTGTATGACCTTCTTAATGTGAATCCTTTACTGTGTGTGCATTTATCATATATTTCATGTTTCATCCTCATGAGCAAAAAATATAAAATGAGAAAAGTATGGATAATGTAACCAAAAGGGGCCAAAGGGGAGTTCTGCACTGTGCTGCAGCGCTGGTCACCTAATTCCGATAAAGGAGATTGCAATATGTCTGTTCCTCAATGTTTGTTTCAATCAACAATGCTATTTGTAGCAAATACCCCTGTTTCTGACAAGTCTTCTGAAAAATTTATTACATATCATCTATAAAATGCTTCTTTATCTCTCAAGCTCTTCTACCTCACTATATATTATAATGCAGGTGAAGTGACAAAGGCTAGATTTCTAAGAGACCCACTTTCGCAAATGAGCAACTTTATGCTCTAAACACAAATTGGGGGCTAGGGCCTTTATCCAGCAGAACACTTGAGCACATGCTTAACCCTAAGCATATGAATAGTTCTGAAATGTGCTTAAGTGATCAGTGCTTTAAAAGCCTCTTTTCTATGCCTCCAGGCATGTTTAAAAGCAGGTCTCCTTGATAAGAAGTCTCTGTTTGGACATCTGCCCTCATGATAAGGCTCCTTCAGTACAAGGGCTTTAAAAGAAGGACTTGTTTCCAGTGCAGTATTAGTAATGCTAAAACAGACCTACAGAACTCTTGGTAACACTTGGAAACTTTTCTCGCAAACCAAAGGACTCTCATCTCATGGAATATGCTCGCAATGTGAGATCCAAAAAGTTCCTGAGGACCCAGCGCTGCAGCACAGTGCAGAACTCCCCTTTGGCCCCTTTTGGTTACATTATCCATACTTTTCTCATTTTATATTTTTTGCTCATGAGGATGAAACATGAAATATATGATAAATGCACACACAGTAAAGGATTCACATTAAGAAGGTCATACAATTATTCAATTATTAATGTTTGATATTTAGTAGTCACTCAATTATTTCCCATCCTTCCATTTTTACTAGATTGGTAAAATAAATTACTTGATCTTGCCATAAGTTTAACAGTGTAATTTGCTGAAAAGTAACAGATCCTCAGAAGAAAATAGATAAGCATTTTGGGAGACTTTTTTTTTTTTCAACATATGCCATTCTAGGGCACATAATACATGAGAATTGTTTAATATATGCATATTTCTGATGATTTAGAGCACCCTTTGAAGTCACAGGGTTTCTTGTACATTCAAAAAGTCACTTTTAAGATGAGAGATTCTTGATTAGACTACTACTAATACATAGTTTTCTTCATTTAAAAATAAATTATGTTCCAAAAAATTGTAACATGTGCCTTAACTATACTTGGTTTGGGGGTCACTGAGCTAATAAGAGCTACTTGTAATAATCAGATTTACGTAAGAGATTACAATCAACATCTATATACTAACACCATTAACAGAAGAGACTAGAGAATGATAGCAAAGAAAACTTTCCTCCCTTTACACAAACATACAGGAAAAATATCATGAAACAATTTATGAAAACAAAGTGAAAGGGAACATTGTGTAGACAAGATAGCAATGTCAATGAGAATTTCATTACGCAAATTGTTAAAATATGGAGTACAAGATCAGCTGTAGCCTGGTTCTGATAAGTAAACTTCTGTAGAGCTCTCTCATATAGCCCAAGCCCCTTCCCCTAGCAAAACAGCTTTTTTGTTTAATACAAACAAAAGCCTTTCTTACAAACATAGGAAGAAGAGGTTTCTCCTTTTAAACTATGTTTATTTATGAATTTTAGGTGCAGACCCTCACAGATTAAATGTTGCTAGGTTCAGAAACTCATCTGCTGTACTCTGTTCTAAGGGGAGGAAAATGCTTTAACTAGAAACTTCCTACCATCTGAGCATCAAAAACCAGGAAAAATGCACTTCTGCTTATGTAAACATAATTTCTGAAGTCACTGGGAATAAGGCTATGTCTCAAGATCAGATTTTCAAAGCTTAAAAAAGAAAAGAAAAAAGACTGGAGAATTTAACTATTATTTTTATATTATGCAGAAATATAATGAAAGAGTTTGGTACAAAAGAATATATATTTAAAGATGTGCTTAATTCCATTCCTATTCAACAAACCCCTTAAGCATGTGCTGAATTTGGCAATGGATATGTTGCTGAACCAAGGCCCTAATTCAGAAGTTGAGCAAGTGGGCCAGATTCTGAGCTAGTGCAAACTAGTATAGCTCTTCTGAAGTCACTGGGGCAGTGCTGATTACAGCAGCTGTAGATCCGGACCATTTATAAATGCATACAGAATCATGCTGAAAACATGCTTAAATATATGAATGAGTTTATATGAGAATATCTTAAACTAGGTCTCCAAGAAAAAGAACAGGGTAGTTTCAAACATTTGCTTCATGTAAATGGATTGGACTTGCCAAAAAGTGACTTTTTATGCAGGCATATGAACTGCTAGAGGAAAGTTAGATTGAGTCACTGGATACATCAAAGTCAAAGTCCAGTGAATGTAATTACTAAATGCTGTATGAACAAGAATGATACCTGCATTCATTTGCCTACTGCCATGATTTCAAATTTTAATTACACAAAAACAGCTACTAGCATCAGTGACTGAACTCCGCAGATTACCTTGATTGCTCTGTCATTATCTCTAATCATCTGCTGCTTCTCATCTTCAAACTTTTGTACAACATCCTGGAGCCGCCTTTCTGCAGCAAGCTGCTGCCGGCTGCTCTCCTCTGTCAGAGAGGAAATGGTTGTCTTAAGTTCAGCTACAATCTAAAAAGAAAACAGCATGCTAAAACTCCTTGTTCAGTGAGAGGTATGTATTTTGCATGTATTTATACTTGACACAAGAATGGAGTTGGCAAACTCCACTGTGCAAACTAAATATTTTAAATTAACATATTACACACTGGCAAGCATGAAATTCCACACAGAGGAAAGGAATATAATAAAACTGTGAATGGCATAAAACTGCTGAACACAAAATATTTGGAAGAGTTTTCCACTATAACATTCCATAATATTTACTCCTCAGAACAAAGCACATCTGTGATCTCAAACATATAAGATGTTTCCAGTTTTCCACTTCATTGAAATGACTTGTTGGGATTTTTAGCAGGGCTTCAGAACTTTCTACAATAACAATATAAATAACAATATAACAATCAAAGAACACTGAAATAAACATGCTAATAGCTCTTTGTCTGTTTGAAAGGTATATCATAGTTGATACTGTAGATAAGAAAAAGTTGTACTTTACATACTTCACTGAAATGTTAAACTCGACAGGGCATCCCTGTGTTGTTGGGAGTAATGTATTTTATTTAACAATAAATTTGAGGTCTGGTTCAATGCCCATGGACTTTTTACATGAAACACCCATGATTTGTTGACTATCTGAAATCTAGTTGTTTTACCCTTTTTATCACTGTAGAAAGCCATATTAAGCCACACTTTGGGGGCATATATTATAGAAAGCTATGCTTAGACACAAGTGGCCTGATCCAGCAAAGCAGTTAAGCACATGCTTAACTTTAAGCATGAGAGCGGTCCCATTGACATCAATGCAACTACTGATGTGATTAAAGATAAACTGCTCTATTAGGGCCATAGAGTCCAATCCTGAAAACACTTAAGCATATGAATAGTCCAGTGATAATATGGTCCAGTAGTACTGTACTACTCACACATGCTTCAGTGTTTGCAGGACTGGGCCCCTAGACTGTGAAGAGACACAACTATTTTAAGGCCACACTATTTAATTTATTTAGGAGAAAAACTGGAGCTTTCAGATGTATATCTGATAGGATTATAAATAATGTTATAAAATATTTTTAAATAAAAATATTGGAATCATGGGGAGAGGCGAAGGGAAGTAATTTTTTGAATGAACGTATTGTGAATTCATTTCCCTACAGTTTGCTAATGGATGAAAACCAGGAAGTGAGATAGACTATAAATAAAAAGTGAAACTGATCCTGCCAGTTTCAGTCACAGTGGACAGAAATGCCAAAATATACAAATGACATAAACTGCAAAATTAACACTTCCTATCTTGTTAATAATCTAAACTTTTATCAGTATCCAGTTTCATATGGACAGTATCCCTTTGAACCCTTATTTAAGTGACAACTGATTAGACTTAATGCTTTCATAATTTTTAAGGGGCAAACTAACTTGTCCGTAAAAACATAAGGGCACGGATATTGGAGGAATCTCTAATTCCTGCACCTACATGAGCAGGGAACATTATGGGGTATAAATATCAGTAACTTCTGTAAAATACAAATGTAAATTAAGAGAAAGGCAATATCTATCAAGAATGATAAATGATCAAAAATGTTCTCCTTTATGTGGAAAATTAAGTTTTACATTATTTGGGTATTATTAGGTGCCTGCAGTAACAAGGAAATTATCTTTGAAAAGGTAAAAAAAGATTATAAATGACCAGATGATATGGAGCAATATAAGAACCTACATAAGAACTTGCTATCCAGTCCTTTAGAAATGTTCAATTCTATATTTAAATACTGAGATAACGTTTTCTACCAGTAAAATCAATGGGCACAAATGTAGAGCTAATTTGAGCAAATACAACTCCACTAAAAGTTTACAGTCTGAATTCAGCAGCAATATAAATGGTAGAGTGGGTCAGAAAATTAGCACCAAACTGGCATTTACGGGGTATTTAAAATGGAAGAAGAAGAGGGTGGTAACAAATGTAAATTGCACTCGTTTGACAGAAAATACCAAATAAGTATAAATTATATTACTTTGCCATTTACAACCAATGGGTAGTTATATCACTATGTATCTGCTGAATTTTGTCCATTTTATTTTGGGTAACAAAAAATAATAAGTTGGTTAAAATGCAGCAGTAGGAGAGGAAAGCACTGACATACTGGTAGACTTCCTCTACTAGAAGTTTACTGGATTAAGAACCTGGACATACATAAACATTTTAAAAATGTTTTAAGAAAATCTTGACAAAAGTTGACAGACAAGGAATGGCTTTGGGCAGTAATTCTCAGGGAAAAAAATCTAATTGTTTATTCTGTATAAACTTCAGAGAGAATTTCCGGGAATATCTTCTTTGTGTGGGTGTTAAAAGTGAATATTCCAAGAGGCCACAGAGAGTAAGATTAGGCTGATGTCAGCAACATAACCAAATGAAAGTTACAAATGACCTATTATTAACATTAAGCTACAAAAAATATATTCAAACAACACTAAGGGTCTGATTCAAACCCACAAAAGTAAAGGAATTCAGAATGAAATCCCATCTTTAATTCTACCATTGTGTCAAATAACTGTAGCATACAATGTACGGTCTGTAAAATCAGCCACTGTTTAGAAACCCCTTACAATGGTTGTCACAGAATCACCAAAAGTAGAAATGTAAAAGATTGATTAGGTCATCTAGTCCAACTCCCTGTAATAAAGGACATTCCTTATAGTATATTTGTTAATGCAATGTCCAGTCTCATTAAATGGGTCTCAAACCACTTCTCTTGGGAGACTATTCCATAGCCTAATAAATTTCATTACTATGAAGTTTGTCCTGATCTTCAGTTTAAATTTTCATTATCTTAGTTTCACAGTTTTATTCCTTATTACTCATATACTCTCTTTGTAACATCCTAAGCTATTTCTCTCCCTCCTTGATGTTTATACCTTTACATATTCAGAGCTGTTTAGATATCCCCCACCTGCCATAGACATAGCAAGGTATTACAGAGTTAGTAGCTAATGGAACTTTAAACTCAGGCCTGAATTTCTTTACATTGATGTCAAACTTTCTGGATTATATCTATCTATTTTTGAGGTTTTCTTTTTATTTCTCTTCGTGGTGACATAACAAATGCAAGAGGATTTTATAAAAAGACTCTTAAGGAAGTTTTTAAAGTTGGCATTCTAGTCATTCATCCCACTTTCATGTAAATGCATGCACAGGAAATATGCATTTAGATTATATTAGAAATGCATATTATTTATCTAGACATAACTATATAAAACATATTTACAAAGTTTTTTGATAAATGTATAGTGCCCTAAGTTTTTAGTGCAGCAGACTTGAGAGTCCTATCATATCCCACCACGGTATTTATGTCCACAGTTTTGGTGATGTTACTTTGAAAAGAAAGACTTTTGAAGGTAAAAATTCAGACTCATTATTATTAATAAACTGCAACATGTTTCTGGCTTAACAGTAAAAGAGATGATTTGAAACTTCCATGTTACTGCCTAGTATGTGGAACCTTGAAACATTCCTTATATTTGTTGGCATTAAGGGAATATTTGACCAATATTACTTTTGCTGAGAATAAACCTTTATAACCAAACAAGTCTTAATTTGTGGTTGTGAGACTCTTGCTTCTCAGAGAAGAATGATGGCTACATGCAAATCCTCATGACAGTTTTTACACTATTAAAATTTTAACCTTCAATTGCATCTACATATTCTATCATTGTCTAAAACCATGCACTAGGAGCATTTTACTGGTATGCTGTACCAATATACTACACTGGCTAAGTGCTCCTACTGTTGGCGCAGCTTATACGGACAAAGCTGTGCTTTTCCTGGTATAGTTTATTCTACCACTACCTCCTCCTGCACCAAGCAAAGGAAGCTATACCAGTAAAAGCGCAGTTTTGACTCTGTAACTGCATCTACACTAGAGGGTTTTGCTGGACTAGCTATCTCAGTCATGGGTCACACCTCTTCACTCCCCCGATCAACCTAGCTGGTCCAGCAGAAGTCTGCAATGTAGATGTAGCCTAGGTTTCAATTCCATGCACAAGTTAAAATGAAGGTTTAAAGTTCTCAAAAGCAATTGTGAAGAATTGCTTACGACTGCCATTTTTTTGATTGACTTTAACTGTAAGGGTAAATTGAATATATATTTTCAGTTCCCACGTCAAGGGTCATCAAAAAACCATTTTACATTAATGAACAAAAACTCCCTCCATTAAGAAAAAGCAGTTAGCTTTTATGTCATGATGTAATCTAGAATTCTTTTAAAATGTTTTGGATGTTAAAAAGCTGTGTCAGCATTCAGCAAAATGATTGGATTGGTTAAAGCCCTACAAACGGTGAACATCAAAACTGCATAGTTGGGCTCAAATCCTGTCATCAGATACGTGGCCAAGAACCACCTTGTAATAGCCTATACACTTTATGATTATGCAAGCAACCTTTGCTGTTTTTACAAGATGCATGGTTATGCAGGCCTGCATACAGGGCCAATTTTACCTGAGTTCTCATTAACTGGCAGTGGGAGTCAATGGTGCTCATGCTCCCGGCAGGATCTGACTCCCAATAGCTAAGAAACAGCAAGCTTAAAAAAAGGCTTTAACTGATCCATTTAATTTTCTGTTTTTTTTTTTAAGTAATAAAATTTGGGAAAGGCAATTGATATTTGATTTTGGGGGAGTAGCAGGGACATAAGAAAAATGAAGTTCCAGAATAGAAGTAAATACATTTTTCATTTCCAAACCAAGCTTACTAATTTGAGGTTTTTGTTTTCATGTTGCCTACCTGTGAAGATTTGGCCAACTTCTGACTGTATTCCTTTTCAATCTGCTTCAACCTGCTGTTGGCCTGAAATAGACACACACACACAAAAGGAAACCAGATTAGCTCAGATGAAGAATGTGTACAGACACTTTGCCACTGACCCCTACGCTTGGCACCTCATCTACATGCCTATCACTAAGCAGCTGGGATCTGTGCCAATTCCAACGCCCTTTTGTGGCAGCCAGAAAACCACAAGGGCTTGTCTTTGATCTAGGGCCAACTATTCATCACTTAAAAGAGAGGAAAAATTGTACCTCTGCTGCCAATTATTAGAAAAACATAAAGGCTTCTACGGATAAAAAAAAAAGGAGGGGGAGAAAGAGAGAGAAGTTTATCAGGATGACTTCATCTCTGTTTGAGGAAAAAAGGGAAGAAAAAAGCCACAAGTTCCAGTGGAAGCTGTGAGGGTTCAGTGTGACATGTATTATATGATTTCATGTGCCAGCTGATGTCTGCAAGCTCCTTTTGTCAAATCTTACATTCTTTTTTAAGACTGCTGCTATTAAACTGAAAATCAAACCCAAGATGCATCAGAACCATTTGGGCCCTCTGACACACAGCTCTTTCCACCTTCTGGCATATCTTTCATATCTCAAAGATAAGGAATAAAACAAAATTGGAAACAAGGCCACTCTTTTATCACAGGTAATTGAGAAGCAGGTGTAACTGTAATCTAATGAAAAAAAAAACACAGCTTTTAAATTCACCATTAGTTTTCATCCAAACTAAGGACACAATTCTGAAATGGGTTGGAGTTTTAAAAGCCATTGCTGTACTATATCCAATAGACCTGTCTCAAAATGTTTCCTCATAAATGTTCTGTTAATGGTTCTCGTATTCTGGGTTCTAAAATCTGAGGCTAAACATCTGAGAAAAATGTATCTTTCAGTAAAAGAGTACTCTGAAAGCTGAGTTTTGAAGCAAGACTACGGTGAGCAGCCTTTCAAAGTGATCTTATGCAAAAAGCTCTGTTCACAACACGACAGAGAACAGAATCCATCACAAAGCCCTAATGCAGCAGCTGGCTCTGTGCAGGCAGACCCCAGTGTCAATGTGGAGCACTGCTGAAGCCAACAGGGCTCTGTATGGGCGTAGGGGCCCTGTGTGGAGCCAGTTGCAAGACTGGGATTTAAGGCTCCAAATCCTGTGAATGCATATGCATGTATCTTCACTCAAGTGAATTGTCTGATTTACTTCAATGTGACTACACATGCTTAAAGTTGCAGACATGCGTAAGTCTGCAAGATCAGAGTCTTAATGAATATACATTAAAATAGTACAGAAAATGTGAAACAGTTATTCTAGTAGAATATGAAACCTTTAAAATCAATGCCCTTCTAAATGCTATTTTTAATGTAAAATATATTAGTCAGTTAAGAAAATTTATATTTCACCAAAATATTTCATTTTTAAATCCCAAATTTCTTCAGATTTAACTAGTTCAAAGTTCTAAGATGCATAGATGTTTCCATATTTAACTATTGCATGGTATGAAATACCACTGCTCTAAAGGACCATCAGAAACACTTTTCTAGTGAATGAGTATAATTTTTAAGTCCAAGGGAGATGAGAATGTTACCATTTAATTGAAGGACTAATCAAGTATTCTATATCATGATTGGATACGCTACCTCTACATCTGTGCCTAAGATCCTATTAATTTCTCTAAATACTGTACTGTGTTCCTGAAGTGAAGTAAACGAAGATTCTGAAATAACAGGTGAATTACATTTAAAAGTAATCTGTTTATCTAATTTAGGTCATCTACTGAATATGGGGTCCACTCAGTCCTAGTCAATATATGACATAGTGATAGGTTAATTGTAGAAGAATTTGTTGTGTGGAAGCATCTACATCACACAGTTTGTTCCAATCTACACTTTTTTCTGTATTTAACACTTTTTTCCTTAATAGTCTTCTGGTTTCAGATCACTTATTGCCACACTGTGCATCATAAAATTATTGTAACTGGCTGTTTATCTTTAGGGCAAATTAAAAAAAATACTTACAGTAGTAGAAAGATTAAGTTACTTTTTACTCTTAAAGATTTTTCATACATACATACATATAGATAGATAGTGTGTGTGTGTGCGCGTAGAGAGAGAGAGGTGTTAGCAAGACAGTGCAAAGAGTGTCACATTAGTCTTGTGTTCACTCTTAATCAGCCTGAGACTGGAGGACTTCATCTCTCATACAGTCAACTTTATAACCTCTTGAACCCAAAGAAGAAATCTTAATAAATAACACACACAGCCACACATACCCATAACCTTCACAAACATATTAGAACTTGTTAGTCCACACTGAACCGAGCTGGGGCAGCCAGTTTGACAAACAATGACCAAAAAGATCTGAAAAAGAAACTTGCTAAATGTCAAGGCTTTACTCCTAGCAGAGTAAACCTCTATAATACTGTTTATAGTAACCTGATTTAAAATTAACTATTGTATTTAATTTTTTAAAACTAAAGACATCCTAACAGCTTTAATAAGATGGAATCAGAAGTGAAAACCAACCCTTAGTAGCTCATTTACTGCTTTTCTTTAAATTCATCAATTTACCCCACATTTTTATATCCATGTTCAAGCCTAAACTTTCTCTGAGTTTTCCATGTTGAAGCCTAAACGTTATATCACACTGGTCAATCAAACTGATTTTTTAAAAAAACTTATGGTGACACACTGGGGATCCACTTCAATTATCTTATGTTAGTCCAGAACATATGACACAACCCCATGTTGCACAGAACCTGCACCCATACTCATTTGAGATCTTTGACTATGGGATGTTGCTTTGTAGCCTGGGAACGCAAATCTATCCCTTGCCAACACATGGAACATGGCTGTGCAAAAGCGCTTTTACTTAGGCTTTGTGCAGGGTAATTTTACTATGAAGTGCTTACATATAACTATATGTAGAGAATATAGTTTAGGATTGAAATTAAATGTATTGTGACAAATGAGGACACTAAAAATGGAATGGTGAAAACAAGCATCAGTTTTCACGGATTGTTTCAAAACTGGGTCCAATTGTCATAATAGCCCAGTTCTATCATGTACTATGTGAAACATAAGCTGCTTCTGTATTTAGCATATTTTCTCACTTTCAGGTGATATATATTTCAGAAACAATGATGAAGAGGAATCAAACTGGGTAACAACCCTTTGGACAGTCAGACTGTATTCATTAAGGTCTAACTTCACAGCAATGGACAACAGGGTCAATGCAGTTAATGGCCCTAAAACCTAAGTTTTTATGTGCTTTATATAACTTCTGTAATTCACATCTGGCTGAAACATCAGCTATTATGTGCATTTTCATAGTAAAAGGGCTTAAATTCAATAAGCCATGGTAGTTTTTGTTTAGTTTCACATGTTTTAAGACAAACTTTATTTAAAAATGACTTTATTATGAAAACGTTATATGCACTTAGTTTATATTACCAGTGTAGAGTCTTGCAGTAAAACAAAATATTTTATGGCCTTGTTATAGTTTTTCAGCTTTAAAAAGCAACTGTAGGTTTGTAACAAGTTTTCATACATCTATAATCCATACTGTTTATATCCAAACTATAGATGCTACGTAAACCTGTACTGACTTCAATGGAACATCGAATACAAACAATTTAATAGTATTAGAACCACAGCCTCCATTATACGATGTTTAAAATATTGGATACTATGTGAATGAAAACTGAATTTTCTTTTCTTTTCATGAAATACAATAGTACTATTAAAAATAAAGGAACTTAAAACGTAGCAACCAATTATGGGAACATACTCCAGAAAAGTCCAAAAAACACTGTGCGTTACCAAAATCTTTCATCTACTTTTCAGTAACATCATTGCTGATAAACAAGATATTTGTGTGTAAAGAGAAAACAACTTTTAATCATTCCATTCTTCCTGCCTAACTCACTCAATAGAACTATGGTCCTGTTTTAGTGGCATTATAACCACTTACCTTGTGGTCCATTCTGATTAGACCTAGGTGGACTTTTTATTTTTTTTCGCAAATAAATGAGAGAATGAGAATGAGAAAATAAAAAGAGTGAGACACTACAGCCTGACAGTTATGGCACTCACCTAAGATGTAGGAGACCCAAGTCCCTGCTCCAATAACAATTTAATTATTTATAAAATGTGGTACAGCTTCAACAGGAGAGATTGACAAAGACTCACACCAAAATATCCTATAGATTGTGTGGCTTGGACACTCTTATGCAATATAGTAAATCCAAGTTCAAATCTCTTCTCCATATTAGGCAAAAGGGGGGGACTGAATCTGTGTCTACCACATTCCAGGATAGAACCCTAACCATTGGGCAAAAGGTTATAAAGGAGGTCCCCGTCCCAGAATTTTATGAATTACTCCTTTGCTTTCGTAAGAATGTCAGTTCAAAAAGAAACGTTTTGACCTGACTTGATATTGTTTTTTAATTCACCAAAACAGTTAGAAAAAAATGTTTGTCATTTGATCCAAAATGAAGCTTTTTGCCTATATTTTGGCATTAGCAGCAAACCAAAAAATCCATTATTTGCCAGCTCTAGTTCTGACATCATAAACACTAGATTATAACTCTCCTGAATGAGTCAGCAACAGAAAGTTACATATGTACGTCAAAGTTTCTATTTATAAACAAATATCTTAATGAGCAAAAGCGGAGAAGAAAGATAATAACAAGTAGAGTTGGTTCTGGTAAAATATATCTTTTAGTTTTCAAATGTGGCAGGGTTTCTATGAAATGTTAAGGCTCCTACCTCTGCCTATAACAGCAAGAAATTCCAAGTTTATGATTTTGTCCTTAACTCACCCTGTTTTGCCTGGTTACTGCAGAACATATGGCATTCAAAATCTCCCACTGTTTGGAGACATCAACAAACCATATGCAAAACAAGGTCGGTTAACGATCAAAAGATAAGGTATACAGGTGTAGCGTGCATACTTAGGGTCATATACTGCCTTCAATCCATGGAAGTCATACTGATGCCAGTGAGAGTGGCACAAACAGATTAAAGGATATA